AGATGCAGTTGGTTAAAACTACGCCTCAAGAATACTGATTGAAAATAAAAGATAATTACACATTAGTTAAAAATGTGTAATTATTTATTTATTTATTTTTGTTTTGACTGTGCCTTTTACATCGACTGTTTTTTTAATCAGAGAATTGTTTGAAACTTGGCACTACAATTTTTTTATGTTGACTGTCCCTTAATTTAATTAATTAAGATAGGTTGTAAGAATTCAAAAGTGATAGGATAATAGAGATAATCTTTGAAAAAGTAGTTTTTGGAAAATGAATAACTTGACATGGAAGTTTTTGTATATGTTTAATTAAAACACTATCTATGTAATAAAGCAACATGAAACTGCAAACCCTAACTATTAACTCACTCCATTGACATGAAATGTTTAAATAGAAGTGAACTTCTTACGGGGTACATTCAAAAATAGATATATCCAGTATATCAAAAGAAAAATCTCAAAAAAGTCAAATATTTTAGGTTCTGTAAGATGTCAAACTTGACCTTTGGCACTTTATAAAATGTTGCAATGTCCATTCAACAATTAATTTAAGAGTAATTGCCAATTTTAACTTTATTAAACAATTTGCTTTTCATTATTTGAAATAATAGCATTTTCATTTTGTATTACTATCAAGCATTCTTTAGGATTTTCATCAATTATTAGTATTAGATTTTTAAAATATTATTTATAGTTATTTAATTAATATTGCTTAAATTATTATGAATTGCAACACAAATGAAAATATTGTGAAGTGATGCAGACCTTTGGGGTTGGACTATTAAAGGTACTTTATAAATTCAAAATATGATGTATTCAAAGTAATTTTTACTACAATGTTTTACAACTATTCATCAACATTTATTTTCAGTTTTATATTCACACATTTTTCTTTCATTATAAAAAAAGTGGCTCAATATAGTTCAATTAGCATTATTTATATAGTAATGTCAACAAACACCACTATAAAAATAATAAGTTAAGAATCTCAGTTTGATGGTATCAATTTATTGAGAATAAACACTTTTGATGAAAAACATAACATTGACATTTTCAACATACACAAAATATCTTTATCAAAGTAGTGCCAAATAATGTATAAAGAGAATGCAATATAATATAAAACAATTTGATATCAATGTATTTTTCATAAAAACAAGAATTATTGCTTAAATTAACAAAAAATTCCAAATTATCTTAATTTGGAATTAGTAAATTTATAATTTTAACTTTAAATATCACACAAAATGAAACAATATATTAAAAGTGTTTATTCTTAGTAACTTAAATCCATCAAATCAAGTTTCTTAACCGATTATCCTCATTTATGCTAATATTGTATAAAAGATCAAAGACATTACTAAAAACTAAACACAGTTCATAAAAAGTAATTTTTAAAAATTTTTAAATCATAAAATTGGGAAAGTATTTTATTTCAGATTCTAACTGGCACAATTTTTTTACTTTAGCTCTACTGTTTCAAATAAAGATTTCTAAGATATCTGTCAAAGAGCTGTCATTTAATATGAAACCAACAAATTGGTTATTTTGATTTTGATCTTTCTTAATCTTAACATACAACAATAATGTATTATCTTCCTGTTTAGACTATCTTGCAGGATGTTCTATAATATCCTTTAATATTTATAGATTATTTTGTTTAAAAAATTAAATAAATCATTGACAATGTCCTAGCTTAGACTATTATCTCCAATGAAAATCTTTATTAACAGAAACAATTAAATTTTAATTCTTCTAAACATTTGAATATTTTTAACGGCAAATATTTTATCCATTAATATCTTACTTATTTTATGAATAATAATGAATTAGTGGTAGCAGTACTAGTATTAATAAATAATTTTTAGACAATGCTATATATTATATCTCTGAATTCTTAATTTAAATGAACTAACTAAATTAATAATAAAAGTTCTACTTTGTCACTAAACCAATAAGACCATTTACTTTGGAAAATAAACACGTTCATCCATTTTTAAAAGAATATCTTCAGGTTCTAAATTTGAATCGCATGTTTTAAATAGGTCTTAATCTTTACATTGCCATTGCTAATTGGAGGATATACTGTATATTTCTGCAGATAAAACAATAGTTGAATCATAAAAAAGGCCCCCAAAATCCAGGGTCATCTTATAGGACAGATACAAAAAAATTAGATTAAAATTTATATAAATTAAAACCATTATAAAAAACAAACAAACCACAATTATTTACTAGTAGATTTATACCATAATTATTTACTAGAGAGTAGGGTATGCCCACAAAATAGAATTGCCCATACAACGTTTTTGTGAATAGTCAAGGTCATTAACCAAATGACCTAATCAGTATAAACGTTTGCAACAATTGCAAGGCAGTGCTTCCAGATGCAAGAAAAATAAAATTTGTTCATTCAAAAAATTACAAATAGGACATAATTCCATACATGCTATACAGTATTATTATCCAGATGATGATTGCTAATCTAAACTAAATTCATAGGCTATTGATAGTTTGGGGTCATCTTATAGGACAGATATGCACTAAAACTATAAAACTTTGATGAAATTTTATACGTCATCTTATTTGTGGAAATGTATGGTACATATTTTGCTGGTTTAGAGACAGAGTAAAACTTTCATTATTAACATTAACCAATAATTGGGTGTTGTTTTTATGAACTAAATGAAATAATCTCCTTAAATTTCATTTTTAAAAATTCATTTCAAATTTCAAAATGCAAATTTCTTGATATTTTGACACAAATGCATTTTATTTTTCTGAAATTGACAGAAATCTATAAATCAAGATATAATTACAAGATATATTTCCATTATACCTAAATATATGATTCTAGGTTCACTTGCATTTTTATGCATCAACTGAAATAAAAAAGCATAAAAACACCAAAATTGCTTATTTTTTAAATAATCATCTACTATATAAATATAATTGTATCAGTGATAAAGAAATACATTTGCATGGCAGAAGTCTTCAGAGCAGCTATGCAGCCAATAGCAGGAAAAAGTTTTAACCTTACCTAAACAAATGTTTCTTCAACTGCTAAGACACAACTGGAGTAATGATAATCAGATAATCATATAGATAATACTTCTGGGAAATAAGAGAGATGTTTTAAAACTTTCTATCATTGTTATCAGAACTGAGATGACAAGACTGACTATGTAAGAACAACGTTATAAAATGAGACCACCTCTCATGATAAGATTTGAATTGTTTGTATATAGCTTCTTTTATAGTATTACAAAAACTTTAATTTAATAAAGAACATTAATTTCTTTACTTACCAGAAAAAAATTTATTTAAATAAGACCATTCCAGTCTCAAAAAAACAGTCACCATAATTTTTCCAACAGATAATTCAACTTTGAATGTTTTTCATTTGAAAGAACCTTCAGTTTATGTTAAATCTCCCTGACTCTGAATAAGCCAGGTTCTGCTGCAATTGCATAGGGGGGAAAGTAATCCCCTTTCCTACAAACTCTCTCTAAATGATCTGTGCCCTGATCATATCTAATAATTGGTGTTTTGATGCCTAACATGCTAATTATAAACCTTTAAGTGATTAAGGATAATTGTTTCAATAATATTAAAAACAATCTTCAGCAGACAAATATTTTACATTAATACAATTATCCAAGATGAACTGCTCAATATAACAAATATTCTGTTTCATTACCATGATCAGCTTCATATGTGCATTAATCAATCATTTACATAATCATTTGACCATTGATTTATGACTATTTTTGAATTCCTCACCCAATCATATACAGAACTCAATGAAAGACATTCTCTTCCTCAAACTATTTTGACAATTCTCTAACTTTTAGCTAGTTTAACCCTTAAGTTATTATAACACATATTATTATAATGACTAATAAAAAGTATAAAAAGGACATCTTGCAGCAAGGTGAACAACTGAATTGGCTAAAGCAGTATTACATAATGCCTTCAATCCTGATTGGGCAAAGTTTGATTGTTTCATCCTTGTTCAAATCCTGCTTTAGTTTACATTTGGGAAACAATGCCTATAATTACTTCTAGCCAATGTAACCAATCCAATCTAACTACTGGAACATTGGGTTTTGCTAGTTAAAATGTTGAAGTAATGAGTTCTTCTCCTCTCACTCTACTACTCCTCCTCCTCTTTTTTTTTTCTCTTTGACTGGCTTTAAAATGTTCAATTGTTTTAAATTTGTAATCTGAATTCTGTTCCAATCACCTGATGAGGATAAACTGTTTTATTAAAAGTGCTTGTGTTTCATTAAACGTTATGTCTTTTATATTAGTATTTAATAAATAACATCAGAAGACAAATGATTTTACATTTTAATAGTAGCTTAATCCTTTCATTCACTAAAAAAATTTATAACACAGCACAGTTCAAGCACAAATTTGATTTTTTTGGTATGTATTCATTTTATCCACCATACATTAATATAAATTCCATTAAGTTTTAGTAATGTTGCTAGCCTTTGCTCACAAAGGCTAGCAACATTACTAAACATACGTTATCTAGCATAACATAATATCATAACATTAACATCTAACACAACTGGTTCTTACAAATAAAAGTGCAGGTGAGCCTTGAATAATTAGATTCAGTAATGTAAGAAAATAGTAGTGTGTCAGACAAACTCTTTTAACTTAGACATAAAATATAATTATAAAGGTTGCAAGAACATTATATATATATAAATAACAATTGGATAAGATTTAAACATTAGGCAATAAATTATATCACATGCTTTTATTATTATTAAACTGTAAATTTTTATTGAACATCTTTATTTTTCTACTTTAAACTTTAAATAAAATAAGGAAATGATCTTAATGTTTCACTAAATTATATAAATTTTTAAAAATTTTCTAATAGTTCAAAATTTAAAAAGAAATTTGTTATAATATTTATAATTAACAAAAAATCATAAGCATTTATTTCAAAACATAGTCAACAAAAAATAGAAAATTACCTGTTAACTCAGGACTTATTAAGCCAGTTAATTCTGGTTCTTCTCTATACCAAAAAATCCACAATTCTTTATTAAAACTTAATTGATTTGTCTCATGTAAACTACTGTGTTGTTGTTCATGGCCACGAGAAATCACACGTCTCCATACACACAATATATTTGCTGCTAGGCACTTACTAAATGAAGACAATACAGGATCATCCAGAGGATCAACACAAAATACATTGCTAGCCCAAAGACGACGCCACCTAATTCCAGACAAATCAGTCTGTAAAATTAATAAAACAAAAATTAATCAAAATTATAATTTAATAATAAAAATTTATAAGATAATATGAATAATTGAAAAAATTAAATTTATGTTTTACAGGTCTATTTATATTGAAAACTTTTCTTTCTATAATTGAATGGCAAGTCTTCAAATAGTGCTGATTGGTGAGACTGTGGTTATAACACTTAAGTTCAATGTAGTATTAAATGTAATAAATTGCATTTTTTTGTTTTATTTTGTTTCTTTTCTATATTACATATGTTATCATTACAAATTGGATAATAGTTTAAATATGCTACTTTACACATCTATTGAATGCTTTTTGGTATATCTAGGTGATGAAATTTCTATGGTCACTACTGTAGATACAACACACTAAAATGTTTTCTACTAGGGTACTCCCATAAATAAATATCCTTATGAATCAAAACTGTTAAAAATTGCTGAGAATTATCAACGTCATTAAAATAACAGTTGCTAGCTCTTTAAAAAAAAAGAAACAATCTGATGATGCTTCACTTAAAAAAAAAGAAACAATCTGATGATGCTTCACTTAAAAAAAAACATACTTTAAGCAAAAAATACAAATTATTTACACAAAAATATAATATAGTGCTATAATTACAATTTCTAAACATAAAAAAAATAATAAAATGTTTAAATTTTCTTGTCTATTTTAAAATAAGTTTGTATTCTTAAAAATTAAAAGTCTGAAAATGCTTTTGGCACTAAATGTTTTTGTAATAATAAGCTATCTAAATTTTTACTTCTCAGTTTAATATGATATATAATATTCATGTTTGTTATACATATAGAACTAATTTATGAAATGCAATGTGCAAATTTGTCTTACTATTTCTAAACTCCAGTTTTACTTTGAATATATTTTTTATCATTGTAGTATTTTAAACTACAGAACAAAACAAAAGTATAAAATTTTTGAAGATTATAAGCATGTACTTTCACTAATTTCATGTATTTTAGAATTGTAAAACATTCCTGTTTATTTTTCCCATTACATTTAAAGTCGTATTTTACAATTATAAACAAAAAATAGTTGACATTTTTCAAATCTAGTAATTTGAAAAAAGTGAGAGAAGAACTACAATTCATATCTATTTAATGTAAAAAGAAAGAAAGAAAGAAATAAAACAAAAAGAATTGTAAAATAACAATTAGAACTTTTGGAAAATCAACCAATGTTCTTTTAGTCAAAATAACAGATTGTTTTGAATAAATAGTTTGATTATCAATATATGCTTTCAGTTTTGCTGTCACATAAAACTTTCTATACTAAGAGTTAACCTTTTTAAGTTGCTAAATCTAACTTGCACAAGTATTGAGAGAACTTTTTCAAGTAATTAAAAATCCAAACATATGTACACTTTAGAAACTGATAAATTCTTTATAAAACAAAAAAATAAATATATAACACCTTTTTATACATTTTTAAGGTGAGTACTTGATTGTGTACTGGAAAAAGTTGTTGGCATGTGTTGATTGCTCATCTCTGTTTTATACTATCTGTTAAAAAATGTCCAATAATGTTATACAGTAGAGCATCATTTATCCAAATCAATTGGGGACTGAGGTTGTTTGGATAACTTATTTTTCAGATAACCGATTATCTACAAACAAATACATTAACCTCTCCCGTGTTGAAATTTTTCTCCATTGCATGTCGCTTCGCGTTGAATTTTCGTCGATGTTAAGCCTAATGTAAACTTTTTAAAATAATAATCGTGGCTATTGTATCGTTAAAAATTATTTCTTTATTTTTTACAAACAAAATAAATATATTGAAAAATAAAAAAACAAAAAAATTTATACTTTAGAAGTTATCTAGTATCAAAAACGTTCGATTCAGCATGACACACAGTCCACAGAAAAACATAACACAAAAGAGACAGTGCTGCCAGCTAAAACACATACACAAACATAAAAAATTTTGGAGTAACCCAAGATATAGCCAAAGATTGCAGCGCCACAGCACTAGCAAAAATTTAAATTTGCCGACTGGAATTCTTTCGGAGAACCGACTTTTGGATAAACGACGCTCTACTATACTATAAAATTAAAATATTTAAAGTGTTTTTAATATTAACCTAAAAATTACCATACTTTCTTCTCCAGCAATTATTTTTATTTTTAAATTTGACTTGTGAAAAATACAAATCCTAATACCATAAGAATCATCATTTTTTAAAAAATAATCATTTTAAATAGAATTTTAACATGCATTTGAGTTTTAAGATCATAACAAACAATAAAACAAAAAATCTGTAAGCTGAAACTATTCATAATAAAGAAAATTCACACCTTTCTCACACTTTCCAGCAGTAACTGCTAATAACTTATGAATACTTAATCTGCTTATGGACTTTGTATAAAGATTTCCAAGCATTGGGTAATAAATATATAATTGCTTGTTAATAAATATATAATTCATTACATTTATTTATCACTCTCTCTCAGACATTCCTCACTTATAATGTTTGGATGCTCCATACATAAGAATTTGAGACATTTCCTACAATTACATTGTGTCTTCCATTCTTCATTGACACATATGATGCATCTTCCTTCTTTATTATATCTAGGTTTTTCTTATAAGAAACTGAACTATTGGTTTAGCTGCTGTTTCAGATCTCTCAGCTTGCATTATTCAATTAATAAAAAAAGAAATCTTCTCTTAATATATTGGCATTTGTGTTTCTGGAAAAATATTATTAATGCATTAATTGCAGCTACATCTAACAAGCTGTAGAACACAACATAGGCCATCTGTGGGTGCTTCTAGTGTAATTGTAAGATGCACACTTTTCATCTTTCATCAGATTATAGAAAATATTTATCTTAGGCTTTTGAGCTGTACCAGTTTCATCATTCTCCTGTTCTTCAAAATCTGATATTTCCAATAACTTTTTATCCATTCTCTCCAGATCACGCCCAAGCATAAGATTAAGTGAAAAATGTCATTTTGAAAAAATACTTTAATAAATTCTGCTAAAAATGTTATAATTGCAACATCACAACAACAAAGCTGACTGACAAAATTCTTCTTCTGTTCTGACAGCAATGACCACGTTTATCATCAATGCTAATCTCCTAATAGATATGAAGGGGAAAAGTGTAGTCAACAAACATATACTTGGTCTTTGAGGTATTCTTCAGTTTGTCACTCAGTTTCAACTGGAACCCATCAGTCAGAAATTTTTTTAATCCTAGATTTAAAACCAAACCATTCACCAAGGGATTAGACAACTTCTAATTCTATCTTGAACATCCTGTTAATGTATATGGACTATTCTAATCAGAACTCTAAAGGCTGCTAGTTTTTAACTCAGCTTTAGCTTTTACTTATATAGATATAAATGCATCATTCTATACACTACAATTTCTAATTACAAATCCAACAAGTTTTATATAAAATTCTTATGAATACTTTTCATAATAACTAAAAAATAATGATGACACACAAATACTAATATCAAAAACATTAGCATTAGTGTAGCCTATGTATTATGTATAGATTAATAACCCTTCTTTTCAATCAGTCATTGTATAATCAATTTTCTTTTCAATATACAAATGTTCTTGGCTACGTGATTCTTTTTCTAGGATTTTGATAATTTTACATCATCTTATTGAACTTCTATTTCTTTAAGTGTCCATACTAATTTAATACTGTTACTAACATTTGTATAAAATAAAAATTTATTAGAATATGAAAGAATCTTATCAAGAAACAAAATTTAAATTATCTTATCTAATCTGTTCATATATGAAAACATATTAAAATTCAAAATTAAAAATATACACATTAATAAATTCTCAGAAAAATCTGAAAAGAAATTCTTAAACACTAAAAATTTGTGATTTGTATGCCTATTTATGAAATCTTTACTGAAAAATCATTATTTATTTCATTAATTCATTATTTCCATAAATTTAATAAAATGCATATGAAAACTATAGATAAATTCTCACTTACACTTATGCACATGTATGTTATTATAAACCATTAACTGTAACTTAGATATTATCTATCAGAATATATTATAGCCAATGCATATTTTTTCCACAAAATATAATTTTTGAATTTTTATCAGAATAATTTTTTCAGAAATATACACACATGATCTTATTAATTTGTTAATAAAATTACATTTATCAAAATTAGAAAACTGTTTAAAATGATTTAATAAAATTTGAATTTTAAACAATAAGTTATTTTATTGTATATGTCATCCTAACATTTTTATCATCAATTCTTCCAACATTTATAAATATTTAAATTGAATTTTTTCTATATTGAGTAATAGATGCTAAAGACTGCAGTTGGTATAAAAACATACTATGATCCATATCAAGGGTCACCAAACTACAGCCTGCAAGATCAATTCATCATGCCTGCCACTGCACTGAGTTAAAATATAATTATTTTTATGGAAATATCATAGATTGTAGATGAACTTACTATGTAGAAAAAATTAAAATAAGTGTAAGTAAAAATGTCAAAATTAGTCCAATCTGATTTTTGCATTTGACAATAATATAATTTTTAGGAAAATCAGTGAAATGAAAAATTCGGTGACTTTTTGAGACTTTGGATATCAGAGCTCTTGTTGTGTAAGTACAGTACCTGCAATGAAGTTTCTAAGAAAAGTGATTATGAGCTTGCTGCAGAGATCATGTTTGTATTGGTAAAGAAATATACTGGTTTTCTTTATTTTGTGTAGTCAGTATACAATATTGAACAAAATGGTTATGTGGCCCCGCTCATCATTCTCTCAGTTATGTGGCCCACTGTGAAAAAAGTTTGGCCAAATATGCCAAAATATCATTTTAAGAGTCAATAGCGCAAGATATCATTTTAAGAGTTTAAAACTTTTCATGAATTTAAGTGATGACATAGTAATTATGTTTCTGTTTTTGTTATAAACAAATAAATATAATTAAATTAGAAAGTGTTTATTTCTAACTATCATAAATTTTAAATATTTTTTTCTGTGAAATGAACATTGAATTAATAAATTCAATTTCTTCTTATTGTTGATATTAGCAAAACTGAATAATAATACAGTGGAACCTCGGTATACAACCTTAATCCGTTCCCGATGTTTGGACTTATACTGAATTGGACGTATACCAAACCAACCTTTCCCATAAGAAGTAATGTAAAAATGATTAATCCGTTCTCATGTAAAAAAAATGGCTGGCTTTAAACACCTCGCTTTCCTGGCTAGTTCCTGCTTGATTTTTCATGAGATCAGCATGTATCATTTTAGCTTTCTCGCAAATAATTGCTTCTGATACGCTGTCGCCAGCACACTGTTTTTCAGTTATCCAAAGCAAAAGCAATTTCTCAACATGATCTAATGTCTTCGATCTCTGTTTAGAAATTGATTTAACCCCTTTCGCAACGTTAGCAGATTTAATAATGTCTTTATTTTTCACGATTGTCGATATCGTCGTTCTCGGAATACGGTATGCAACAGTTAAATCTCGAACACGCATGCCACCTTCATATTTCTCAACAATCTCTTTTTTCAGTTCCATTGTGATTCTAGTCATTTTTTTAGTTTTCTGTTGCTTTTCATTTGCCTTTTTGCAATTCATGATTAATAAAAATAATAAAATTTTACTTACAAATTAAAATCAGAAGAAATTTAACAAAGTTATAAACCGTTGCACCACGAACGTCTAGTCTGGTCTAGTACACCGATAGTGCTACTTGTTCATTGATGACGCGTATAATTAAATTATGTCGTATACCGAATAAAAGTCGTATACCGAGCAAAATTTGTTTCGTCCAAACAGGACGTATTCTGAATTGGACGTATTCTAAAGCAGACGTATACCGAGGTTCCACTGTATATTATTATTATTAAGTTTTAAATGCAATATATTTCATGTTTGTTCAATTATAATTTAACAATATTAGGGCAATTAAAAAATATATAAAATTTAAATTCATTCTTTTCATATCTAAAATTATCATACAAAACTGAAAATAATTTTTAGAGACTAATAATAATAAAAAACATGGTAATTACATTTAAATTTTTACTACTTTTAGGACACAATTTATAGTTCAAGAAGTTAAAAAAAAATATATTAAATTAAATTACATTTAATAATCTCTCTCAATTTGATTTTATATTCTGCTTTGTATACAAACTGTTTACAATAATTCTAATATTCAATCAACATATATAATAATGCTTTACTTTCTATTACCATGCAGCAGCATGAGAAAATGTAAAATAATAAAGCACCTCAAGACATTACAGCCAACTCATTTCTTAACTAAATATACTGAAATGATGACAAGTTTTATTGCTTCTGAAAACATATTTTCAAAAAATAGTAAAACTTATGTCATACAACTGTTTAATATAGACACTTCTATATTATATGTTTTGTTGTATATAGAAATACATAAGTATTTACTTGAATTTAAAAAAAATTACAAACAAACGAATTTAATAGTAAAAATATCTTATTACTTATATTTTCAATAATAAAATTTATTTAAAAAATGGCTAGTTGCTATGTTAACGTTTTGTTTTGCATGTCTTCCTAGATGCAACAAACAAATGAATGAATGTTTCAAGAATCTAACTTTACTTAGGTTACTTTATATTTGTGTTAAACAAATTTTATACTATGATAATGAAATAGAATTTTTTTCTTCTAATTCTTTTGTAAGATTTTATTCATTTACAATATATTCCGTAGATTTAAAATATGTTACAATTTAAATTTGTGAATTTTAATATATTCTAATTTTAAAACTGTATCTAACAAGTAAGTTCAGTTTGAAATACTATGTTAAATTGCACTAGTAGAAAAAATCTTCGTAAAGGAATAAATATTTTAGTTATGTTAAACTTATCAGAAAATTTGTTGATATTTGAATATAATACCAAATGTCACAGTTTTTTTTTTATAATTTTAATAAACAAAAATTCAGAAATTTTATCACAAAACAATTTTAAAAACTTAAATATTTATAAATAAAATTTAATGTAAATGTAAAATAAAAATCATATATTTAACAATCACATTTAATCCCTTATTCTAAACAATGAGAGAAAAACATAGCCTATACATGACATCATTCTTCATCAGTCAACACAAGTCAAATTGTAGACAAAAGACGTAATTGTCATTGTGATTATCACATGATCATTTTTATCATAATCAAAGATAATGAAATGATGATCTCATGATAACAGATAATTATTGCATTCAAAAAAGAGATTCAGCCTCCTAATCATAGAGTATTTCTAAAATAACTTGTGATAAGAATTCACTATAGAAGCAAATACCAGTTAGACAATTTGCATAAAGATATTTTTCTTATGCATATATGCCAGATAGTAGTTGAAAGATTTGAGTAACAATTTTCTTGTTATATTGTAAGAATTTAAGTTATTGATTTCTCTTTAAGAGACATTGCCAAATTATTAATAGAGTGAAAATGCTTTGAATAGAATATACGAAAGAAGATTAATGAAACATAAATAGCCAATTTCGTTAAATTTGTGTTAGTTTTTTTCATGCAAACAAAATAAAATAATAATATTTGGAATATTTTTTCAATTAAGTTTCTGCAGATAAACACTAGAACTCAAAAACTAATGCTTATGTTTAACAAAATTGAATATTTTCTGAAGATGCGTTATTTTTTGTTAATTTACTGTTTTTCATACACCCTTAAGAATATTTTTCAAATTTTTTTTTTAAGTTTAAGTCAAACTGGCATAGAATGTCAAAAAAATCTGAACAAGTTTGTGTAACAGTTTTCACTTAGAAAAAAAGACAACTCTGAATTAAATAGTTGTTTAAAAAGTGATGAAAAACTGTACATTATCTTTTATTTTTGTAATTCTACAACTCTTCCATTATCAAATATAGTCAATTT